TAGTTCTTCTCGTCTCTTACTCTGCTTCGTTCTGCCCTGCTGGAGCTGGTGGTGCTGCTCCTGCGGGTTGCGGTGTCGCTGCTTTTCACTACGTGTCTCACGTATTGGCTTGTAGTGCTCGCTTCCTTGTTGGCCTCTGCCTGGGCCCTGGCTCTTAGGTTTTCGGCGCCGATCTGTCCTCGCTGTTTCCAGAGTCTGCGGTTCGGCTTTTCTGGTAAGTGTCGACTTCTCGTTGTCATCCGTTATTGGCTTTGTTGGTCCTTTAGGGGTCCGGGGGGTTCCTCTCGGACAGGGCGTGTCTGCTCGCCTGGGTTGGTTCTTTCCCGGTTTTGGGTTCCTGGTTCCCTTAAATCTTGGTTTCTGGTTTATCTTGCTTCCTGTTGTTCAGGTGTGGAAGTTTCATGCTCTTCTTTAGAGATGAAGGGGTTTCGTTTCTTAGGCTTTATAAGGCATTTTATTTATTTCCAACAGGCTCTTTTACTGGCGAAGTAAACCATGTAATGTATCAATCATACAATGTATGTATGTGATGTAACTATATAACCTGAGCTTGTAAAAGCACCTTCATCACCTTCAGTGATTAAGTGCTTAATTGCACACTAGTTTCTTTATCAGCTACCTCACCCTGTCAGGGTAAATGAGACAAATGTATGTGAATGCATGTATGTGTGTATATATGTATGTGTATGTGTGTGTGTGTATGTATATGTATGGGTATAAAGCATATATGGAAGCTGATCAGAATTACATTTCACCTTTGTGAATGTACATTAATGACACTATGTAAAAGACACATCTAATACTTTATGTAGGGCGTACGTAAATCTGTGTATCTTTGTATTTACGTATGTAGGTTAGCTTAGCATTTTAAAAGCACCGAATCACCTTCTGTGGTTGAGTGTTCAATAAACCCTTGAACTGTATGTTTAACACTTCTCTAACCCTGTCCATGGAGGACAGAAGAAAATGTATATATGCTGGTTAGCATTGTAAATGTCTGGCCACGTCTGTGGTAGAAAATAATAAAAAAAAAAAACTGGCGAAGAATGGGTTGGTTGGCCCCTTTGGTCAGTAATTATTTTCATAAATCTTTGTTTCTGGTTTCTCTCACTTCAGGTTTGTGTGGAAGGGAAGGAGGGGGGGGGGATGGAACTTCATGCTCTCTTTTGGAGGCGAAGTGCATTTCTTCTTTTGGCTCTAGAAGGCATTTTGTTTGTTTCCAGCCGACCCCTTTACTGGCGAAGAATGGGTCAGTTAGTTTCTGGAGGATCCTTTGGTCATTGACACTTGGTTGATTTTACCTGGATACATATGCTGTGTCTTGTAGCAGTGCAATACCATTATCTTTCTGCCACCGATTCGGCCTTGGTGGATGCCTTGTGGGTCGATTCTGTTACCTTGGCCTCTTTTTCCAAGTCTCGTCTGTTTCAGGTCATCCACAGTGTCATTAAATCTAGCCAACCTGTGGTTTACTCTCATGCCCATGAGACTAGGAAGTATACGCTGCTCTCTTGGCAGTCTTTTCAAATATGTTCTGGGCTGATATTCGGGCGCTGGGGTTTGGGAGGTTGAACAGGGTTCTAGCCGCCAGGTTAAGTGCCCGGGACCCTGATGCCCTTGTGTGGCCTTTGGTCATATCTCTTGTCTGTGTGTGATCTTCGTCTTAGATCCTGCAGTGCACCCTCCTTCCTGGTAATTGCACATTACTTTTCCTTCTCCATGGGTAGTTAGCTCCAGGAAGCCATAAGGTGCTTCCCCCAGAAAACCAGCATTGGTTTTAATGAAATGCCAATTTCTGGGTGAGTCCCAGTGGCTCCCTGGCACCCTCCCTCCCTCCAAGTTGTTGGGAGGGGGGGTTATATCTACCATAAAACTGAGGCTGGGTTCACTTGCTGACTGTGAACTGCCTTCTCCCCACAAACAAGTGAGGGAGGTGGGGCAAATGAGCTTACACTAGTTTCAAGTGATTTTTTATTACAGTATTTGTTTAATTAATTGGGGGACTTCTTTCGGCAGTTCTCGAGGATGCAGTCTCTATTGAAGTCAGCAGTGGTTGGTTTTGATTTAATGACTTCCTAGTTGCTTCCCCGATAGTGGCATAATTAAATTCCACTGCTCTCTGCACTTGTCTGAGTGGGGGGGGGGGGGGGTCCCTGGCATGCCAGTAAAACTATGCAGCTGGTGCAACCTGGTAGATGGTACAGTATCAATGACAGTAGCTTCAGGGTGCCATTGGGACTCATCCAGAAATTAGTATTTCATTACATTCAATGCTGGTTTCTGGGGAAACCCCGTCGGCTCCCTGGAGCTATCCAGGCTGATATGTAACTATTAGCTATCTGGCATCAGTCAAAGTACATGGAATTCTTGCTTACTGGGGACCACAAGCCAGAACCTGGCCCCTCCCCCCCTTAGAGAGGCACAAGGAGCAATGGCCTATAGAAACCCCTGTGTGGTTGGGAACATTTTATGTCTGCCATCGACTGGGTCTGGCACCCAGAAAGATAGGTGCCCCAAAACAAACCCCTATTCTGGTGAAAATATTGCTACTGAAAGCCGAACAAGGGGACAAAACTCCCCAATCAAAAATTAACAAACAACCATGACGTCATCACGTTGCCACGCCGCTGTCTGCACAGCCCCCCCTCTTCCCCGGGAGGAAGAAGGGGGAGCCCCAGGTCCCTCGTGCTGGTGATGCAACCGTCAGTTCTTGGCTGATGTGATACTGGCAGGTCATGTGCCTCTAGCTCCTGTTTTGATTTCAGTTACTGTGCCTTGTGGCATGGTCTGTCTCTACAGGTGGTGTGTGAGCCAGGAGTAATATTCTACGGTACTCGGGCTGCATGTGCCTAGGGATTCATTCCCTAGGTACCCTGTCCTCCTCCCCATCGTCCCATTGACACGGCGATGGGGTGGGGAGGGGGGAGGCTCGCTCTGTTTGCTCGGCCCTGGTCCCATGATTTGTGGTGGTGTTGGGTGGCTCCTCCTCCTTCAAGGGGTTCAGGGCTGGCGGGGCAGGCCTCTTCTGCGTTCTGTCGAGTAATCTCCGAGTGGGTTCACTTGGGTGAGGTCGAAACAACCTCATATCTCACATGGGTTTCCTGCCTGTTTCCGGCCCCAAAACATGACTGCGCGGACCTCCAAGTCATTCTGGACTTGTTCCATCTTAATCTGTGGGTTTATTGCCCCTTCTTTTGGATGACTGTCCCAGGTCCGTCTTCTGTTGGAGCCAGGCACTTGGATGGTGACCCTGGATCTCAAGAACACGTATTGGCACATCCCGATTCATCCGAGATTCAGGGACTGGCTCGGTTTTGTTGTGAGGCATTAAGGTTCTCATTTCGTTGCATTTCTTTCGGCTTGAATCTGGCACCTTGCATTTTCACATGTCTTACTCTGGTCGTGGTGGCCCGTCTGCATCTATTAGGTGTCGGGTTCTGGCCTACCTTGACGACTGGCTGGTTTGGGCTCCCAGCCAGTCTGCGTGTCTGCTCGCCAGGGATTTTGTTCTTTCCCAGCTCGCCAGCTACATGCCTCATCTCTGCGACAGAATGACGTATCTTGGCGGTCCTTCTGGTTTTTCCTATCATTGCATAGGTGTACTTTGGTCTCTGATAGGGTTGCTTTTCCTTCAATCCATCGTTGTTCCAGGATTGTCATCTTTTGCCCAATACTGTCGCCTCGTATCGTGTGGCACTGGGGGAGCTGCTCCAGCTTGCATTCGAAATTTATGTTACTTCTGCTCCGTTCCATAAGCTGTCTCATGCGTTGTTTTAGCACCGGCCTGCTCATGCGCCTCCTGAGCTGTCCTGATCTTTGGACTGGGTGCTCTCTTTTCTCTCTTCTCCTCAGTTTGTAGTGGCCCTTTCGGTTCAGGATTGTTTTTTCGAAGGCTCTTTTCCTGTTAGCATTGGCCTCTTGGGGTCGGGTTGTGGAGCTTCATGCTCTCCTCTAGTGCAGGGGTTTCTGCTCCTTCGGTCCTGGTGGTAGGTTTGTTCCTTTGCAGCCGTCTCCTTCTTTTCTGGCAAAGAATGAGGCTGCTGCTTTCTGGAGGTGTCCTTGGTTTGTTGATGCTTGGTTGGTCAGGCCGGGGGTGCATCATGTGTTGTGTCTGGTTGCGGCTCTCCACCGTTATTTGCGCGCCACGGCTTCGGTGGCCGGGGATACGCTGTGGGTTGACTTGGTTTTCCTCCTTCCTTGTTCCCAGGCTCGGGTCTTCCAGGTCACCTGCAGGGTTATTAAGTCTAGCCAACCTGCGGTCTATTCCCCGTGCCCACGACGTTTGTAAGTTTGCTGCTTTGGCTGCCATCTTTGGCAACATGAGGAGTGAGGACTGACCGCCTTGCGGGTAAGTTCCTGTGTTTTTCCTTGTCTTTGGGTAGTTAGCTCTGGGGCTCCGATGGGGCTTCCCCCAGGAAACCAGCGTTGAATGTAATAAAACACGATTTTCTGGGTGAGACCCAGAGACTTCTCAGCATCCCTCCCTCCCCTCTAGTCAGCGGTGTTTTCACGTTTTTTGACATCCAGCCTAAGAACTGCTGGTTGGATCGTTGACGCCAGGGGTCTGAGCTCCCCCTTCCCCCCTCCCTGGGAGGAAGGGAAGGGGTTGCGTAGACAGCGGCGCGGCAACATGATGACGTCATGCTTGTTTGCTAATTTTCATTTGGAGAGTTCTGTCCACTCATTTGGCTTTCGGTAGCAATATTTTCACCAGAATAGGGGTTTGTTTTGGTACACCTATCTTTCTGGGTGCCAGACCCGGTCGATGGCATAAAATGCTCCCAACCACACAGGGGTTTCTATAGGCCATTGCTCCTCGTCCCTCTCTGAGGGGGCCAGGTTCTGGCTCGTGGTCCCCAGTAGGCAAGAACTCCATGACCTCTAACTTATGCTAGAAAGCTAATAGTTATATATATCAGCCTGGATAGCTCCGAGGAGCCTCCGGGTCTTGCTCAGAAAATGGCATTTCATTAAATTCAATGCTTTTCTTTTTTTGACAGATTCATCAACGCTGGGGAGATACTGATCAAATGCGCAGCATCACCCTTGATCATCCATATATTCGATCCAATTCAGAGTGTTTGATTGAGGGTTCACGTAAGGATCGCATATCACATTTTCTACTGAGGTTATTATTACTTTTCTTGCTTTAGTTATTGTAAGTATTACATTAATTAATTGTAAGAAATCTGAGAAAGACCTATTGGCCCATGTGATATATCTTCTATTTATATTCAACCACTAACTCTCATGTACCTCTACACTGCACACATGTTAACACTTTGAGCCACCCGGTGTGCGTGCCCCAGCCTACCCGAAGGTGGGCCGAGCATTTCCCGTGAGCACGCGCCTACACGAAAATGTGTACTTATACACTTTTCAGTTTTCTCATGTCAATTTTTGTGTTACATAGTTCAGTTTGGTATCAATTTGTTTGCAATAGAATTTTCTAAAGGAATATATGTATATATCTTGAGTTATCTTGAGATGATTTCGGGGCTTTTTTTTAGTGTCCCGCGGCCCGGTCCTTGACCAGGCCTCCACCCCCAGGAAGCAGCCCGTGACAGCTGACTAACACCCAGGTACCTATTTTACTGCTAGGTAACAGGGGCATAGGGTGAAAGAAACTCTGCCCATTGTTTCTCTATATTGTTCTCTCTATATTCTATTTCTCTATATTTCTATGTTTCTCTATATTCTCTATATATGTTTCTCTATATTTCTCTATTTCTCTCTCTATATTCTCTATCTCTATTGTATATAAGATAAATAAAAACAGGCACGCTACCCGCAGCAAACTAGAAAATCTGCCAATTGTTACCCATGAGCAAGCACCCATCAGCACACCCACACTAAAATGTGTACACTCTGTTCAGTTTTCTCACCTCAATTTTCATGCTACGTTATTCTGGTATTAAATGATTCGCAATCTAAAGACGTACATTTTTAAAACTAGTCCCATAATGATCGGAAAACAAATAGAATTGTAATAAATATTTTAATTTTGGATGCAACATGCGTCCCAGTCAGACATCCGTAAAGTCATTTATGGATGCAATTTCCGTCCCCCCCCCCCCCCCACCACGGACGAAAGTGTTAAATGTGATACTCTTGTGGTGTGCACAAAAAAATTGTTCTGAATAAATTATTTTCTGAGGGGAGCCCCGGAGGCTCCCTGGAGCTTATCGGGCTAATGTATGTTATACAGTGGTACCTCGGCTTACGAGCGCCCCTGGTTATGAGTTTTTCGGGTTATGAGCAGGATTTGCTCGGAAAATTTGTTTCGGGATACGAGCATGGCCTCAGGATACGAGGGTGTACGGGCCGACCTAGCGCGTGGTGGCACGGCGATCACCGCTCAGTTTACCAGTGCCATGCGCCCAGTGACTATTGCCCCTGAATTCTTCACAAGGATTTACTGTTTCTTTTCGGATTTTTTGCTATTTGAGCATAAAATTTGTTATTATATATCTCGCCATGGGTCCCAAGAAAGCCAGTGGTAAGGTTGAACCTAAGAAAATAGTTGTGAGTAGAGGCAGTAGAGGATGTTTCTTCTTCATTAAGAAAATGTGTGAAGTATGGGAAGAACTGCAAAGTTTTGTTGAAAAAGCTCACCCAGATAAAGCTGTAGCAGGCCGTTGCATTGACCTTTTAAATGATAATGTGATGTCTTACTACAGACAAGTGTTAAAATAATACAGTGGTACCTCGGAATGCGAGTGTCCCTGTATGCGAGTTTTTCGGAATACGAGCAGGATTTCCTCGTAAAATATGTCTCGGAACGCGAGGGTTACCTCGGGACCTCAGAATGCGAGTTTGTTGATACGCGTACAGGCTGACCTAGCGCGTGGTGGTTCGGCGATCGTCGCCCCTCCGCCCCTCCTCTCAGTTTACCATTGTCTCGCGCCCAGTGACTACCCCACATCAATTCTTCTCGCGGATTTTCAGTGTTTTGTTGGATTTTTGGTGATTTGACTATACAATTTCTTATTATATATCTCACCATGGGTCCCAAGAAAGCCAGTGGTAAGGATAAAGGCCAGAAAGCCCATGTGAGGATGACAATAGAGGAGAAACAAGAGATCATTCGGAAGCATGAGAACGGTACACGTGTTGTTGAACTTTGTAGGCAGTACAACAAAGCCACATCAACAATATGCACTATACTTAAGAAGAAAAATGAGATTATGAGTGCTAAAGTGGCAAAAGGAGTCAGAACAATAACAAAACAAAGACCACAAATACTTGAAGAAGTGGAAAAGTTGTTATTAATTTGGATACACGACAAGGAGTTAAGGGGTGATAGTGTTTCGGAGGCCATTATTTGTGAGAAAGCCAGGGTATTGCACGAAGACCTTCTAAAGAATACCCCTGCAACGAGTGATGCAGATACGAAAGAGTTTAAGGCAAGCAGGGGCTGGTTTGAAAAATTTAGAAGGAGAAGTGGTATCCATAGTGTTACAAGGCATGGGGAGGCAGCCAGCTCAGACAAACCAGCCGCTGGACGATTTATTGAGGAATTTAAAGAGTTTGCAGAGGCTGAGGGATACCTACCGCAACAAGTGTTTAATTGTGACGAAACAGGACTGTTTTGGAAAAGAATGCCTAAGAGGACATACATTACCAAGGAGGAAAAATCCTTGCCCGGACACAAGCCTATGAAAGATAGGTTTACGCTTGTGCTGTGTTCAAATGCGAGTGGCGATTTGAAAATTAAACCCTTGCTAGTGTATCATTCTGAAAATCCAAGGGTTTTCAAACAGTATAAAGTGCAGAAAACCCATTTGTGTGTGATGTGGAAGGCTAATAAAAAAGCATGGGTGACTAGGCTTATTTTTTCGGAGTGGGTGAATGAAGTGCTGTGCCCTGCCATAGAAAAATATCTGCAGGAGAAACATTTGCCACTCAAAGCCGTGCTTCTCCTCGACAATGCTCCTGCTCATCCTCCAGGCTTGGAAGATGATTTGTTGCCCAGATACAATAAATTCCTCACAGTTAAATTCCTTCCTCCTAACACCACTCCTCTAATTCAGCCTATGGACCAGAAAATCATAGCGAATTTTAAGAAACTTTATGAAAGGGCACTTTTCCGGAAATGTTTTGAAGTGACTGAAGCCACAAACCTCACCCTCAAAGAGTTCTGGAAACAGCATTTTAACATTTGTAGTGCTTTAAAACTCGTTGACAAAGCCTGGCAAGAAGTGACTCAAAGAACCCTGATCTCTGGCTGGAGAAAATTGTGGCCTGAATGTGTGAGAGAACTAGACTTTGAGGGGTTTGAGCCTCTAAATGATGCGCCTATTGTTGAGGAAATTGTTAGTCTAGGCCAGCAAATGGGCTTGGAATTGGATGGTGATGATGTGGAGGAGTTGGTGGAAGAACACAACGAAGAACTGACCACCGAAGAACTCCTAGCCCTTCAACAGGAACAGCAAGACAACGCAGCAGCGGATGATTCTAAAGTGGAGGAGGCAGTAGCGAATGTCCCTTCTGCAGTAATTAAGAAGGTGTGTCAGATGTGGGAAGAGATTCAAACAATTGTTGAAAACACTCACCCAGAGAAAGCTGTAGTAGGCCGTTGCCTTAATCTTTTCAATGACAATGTGATGCCTTACTACAGAGAGAGCTTGCGAAGAAGGGAAAAGCAAGCTTCCATGGACAGATTTGTGGTGAGGAAATCGAGCAGTGAGCCTCAACCAGGACCTAGTGGCACTCAGATAAAACGTCCCAGGGAGAGCACACCAGAAAGGTCCTCACTGCCTGATGTGATAATGGAAGGGGACTCCCCTTCCAAACAGTAACTCCTCTCCTCCTCCCCCCTCCTCACCATCTTCCATACGCCTACAGCATTCAACAGCAAGGTAAGTAATAACTTGAACATAGTTTTGTAGGTTTATTTAGATGAATTAGGTATAAAAATTTAGTTTGATGTGGGGTTTTTGGGGTAGTCAGGAACGGATTAATTCATTTCCCATTATTTCTTATGGGGAAATTAGCTTCGGAATACGAGGCGTCTCCAGGAACCAATTAAACTCTTAAACTGAGGTATGCCTGTACAACCGGGACTGACGCTTCTCTGGCCTCAGTTTCCTTGGCGGTGTTTGCCTTTGTGGTACAGTACTACCCCTGCGTGACAGGGTTATCTTCCCTGGGGTGTTCGGGAACCATTCCCGTAGAGGTTCTTGCTGCTCGGCATTTGCCTTGCCCTTGGGGTTCTTGTTTGGCCTTGGGTAGGGACTGGTATTGTGCTGGTTAGGGCGTCAAGGTGTTGCGCGGCCTGCCACCTACGTGGCGACCGGTTCCTGTTGCCTCTGGGGACGGTGTACTTTTTGCGGGGTTTGTCCTTGGTTTTTATTTTAACTTCAGGGGCTGCCCCGTTTGGGTTGGGGACGGAGGTTTTCGAGCCTGATCCTCCTGCCGAGGCTTCTGGGTCATACCAGCAGCCCTTTCTTTGCTACCTTTTCTCTGGACTCTTCCTTTTCTTTAAGGGCAGAGGGTGTGGAGGACGGCTTTGCCCCCGGGGCCTTCTGTTGTGGGTTCCGGGGGCTGTGGGGGATGCCCGCTAGCAGTTCTGGGGCTGTTTTTCCCTGCCAGTTTTTTCTGCTTCTGGGCGGGATTTATCGTCCTTCTCGACTGCTTATTCCCACATTTGCTGGCATGTTTTTGGATCTATTGCATCGGTCACGGTTTCATGCTCTGGTGGCCATTTTCTTTCTGTGGGTTGCCCTGTTTGGTCACTGGCGACGCTGCAGTTTGTTTACCTGTGCCTGGGTATGCAAACTCACATTTTGGGCGAGTTTTTCACCTCCTTCAGGGTTTTTATCCTCCTGTTGCCATTCTTTGCTTTTTCTAGGGTATTCTGCCTGTCTGCTGTTCCTTTGGGAACGCTTGGGTGTTGATTTGTACACCGGTTTTTGCATTTTCTGTCTGTTTGGGTCTGGGCCCTGGGGGTTTGGTCTCAGTGTCCCTGTCTGTTTATGCTTGCTCCCACATCTTGTGTCCCTCGGTTTCGGTCCGTTTTGGCCATTTCCCTGGGGGGTTTTGTCTGGGTGCTGTGTGTAATTACCTAAGTGTAATTACCTAAGTGTAGTTACAGGATGAGAGCTACGCTCGTGGTGTCCCGTCTTC